TGGTTAAGCACTATAGTCAAAACTTGTAAAGTAATCAATGTAACTGTTCTTCTGTATTTCGAAAGCGATGAAAGGGCATATTATGATTAATGCTAATGCTATTACATTAATGAAAAGTATAAAAGAAATTCTAGGTTATATATACTTTTTATTTAATGTCACTGTATTTGTTACCCACGTATGACAGCCATACGTTCGTATATGACAGCCATAGAGATATCAATTTAAATTTAGGTACCATAGTACTATGGTAGACAAAACGAAAAACAATGTAAAAGTGTAAGGATGCGAATACCGTGGGAGTCCCAGACTAAACTATAATAACCAAATAGTCCGTATGCTACCTACGAAAGAAATCTCCTGAAACTGAACTATTATATGCTTAAAATGAATTATGACCGTGGATAAAGCAAGAATGGAATAAAAAGAATAGAAAGATGTTTATAGGTATAGTATTCATTTATTTATTCATTAGTACAAATATGTGTACATGGCGGACTTAATGCTAAAAGCATTCTCTCCCAGTCAACTATAGGGAAATATCAGAATACTCGAATGCCGTACTTGTAATTATTAATATACGACAAGAAGTAAAATATTTTATTAATCTTATTGCGCCTATTTTAGAGAATTCATATATTTAAGATTGAACTAATCTAATGTTGAAGACAAATTCTCTGAAATAACGTGAACTTCTAAATTTAAGAAAAACTATGGTCGTATAGATATTAAAAATGATAACAATTATTGGACAACAAAACTGGACAGGAGATCCTGATGTTATGATTCTTAGCAAAAACGGGTTTTAACATAGAATTTTTCGTTCAATAATACGCTCCAAACAGACGAATTTGCAATTATCTGATAATAATTATGCAAATCAACGAAACAGTATACTATTAGCAATTATAACTTTCTCATACCTTCTAACAAATTAAATTCAAAGAGAAGGATTTTATGTTCTATTGTCGTAAATATAAATCTCTCAAAAATGTAAAAGTGCAAACCTTATAATTGTTAATGACCATGTAATTATTATATAAAGTTAAGAATAATAATATTGCTGTAAAAGAAGTAATTGAACTAGGTATTGCTAAAAAGTTTTTTATCTTGTGATGTACTCGATGGTTTAATCAGTAGCTAGCATTTAGTGCCTTGAACTAAAATGGCAGAAACAATATTTTCATTAAGTCACTTCAGTGTCAATTAAAAGACTTTTTCCAAACTCTTTTACGTTTGCTTCGCTACTTAAGAAATATAACAAGTAATTTGTTTTGAAGTATCATGTCGGGTTAATTAAAGGAAAAGAAAACTGGAACCATAGACTTTATAACAAGTATAACGCCACACATCAGGAGTGCGGGAAATGAAAGCACAGATAAGGTGTTAAGCTTTGAATATGACGTAGCCAGATGTAACACAGTATCTATCCATTTGATGCTTGCTTGACGTACTCTATCATCCGACTGAAATCACTATCCAGGTCGAATTACAAAACGCTTAGCAAACTAGTTCAGGGACAAAACACGATAATTGGATGGCGTAACACCTGTTCTCAGCTGTAATTTTGTTATTGTATTAAACTTTAGCGTATAACTTTAAAACACTGTAATAGATTATAAGATTACTACGATGATCGAATCGTTTATGACAGAGATTTCTTATGTACGTAATTCATACGTGCAGATAGGTTTGAGGTGGGCACCAAATGGTCTCATTTCACAAGTAACAAGTCGAGTATGGAATGCGGGTCGCCACCGGCCTTGCAGCTTGCCAACGCTGACCACTCTCGCGCACTTCTAGATCAAAATGAACACTGCAATAGTAATACGAAACGTTTACGTATGTGCGTGTATATAGAGAGCAATGACCGTTGCCTCATAGTAGTCAAATACAATAATTTTGCTACATAAGCAAATGGTCAACAATACAGATTATGTAACTAACGGCATTGTGCGATGGAACGATCTGTCCCCTTTATGCAGCCTGGATGCAGTCCTTTTGACGCTCTATTTCTATCACGTCACATTGTTACAATACATGAGTAGCTTTCATTAAATAAATCTTTGTGCTAATAAATAAACATTATTTCAATAATAAAAATGCATTAAAAAACAAAATATATTATCATTTCAATAAATAACGTCGTATGTAACACATTATTAGTAAAAAATGTATATATATGATTATTGTAAGGACATTTATAATTCTAGAAGAGAAACTAATTCTTACAGTGTCTTTTCCTGCTTCTGGAGGAGGAAACCTACATCTAGAATTGATTATAGCTCTAAAATTAATGTTTATATATCAATGGACAAGTCAGATAATACCTTAAAAAAGACAAAAAATATTGCTAGAGATTCAAATAACTACTTATTTAGAGCTCAATGTTATTATCATCAAATTAATATTTGTTTGCATCGTAAATTAGAAACTAAAAACAAAAGGTAAATTAAAAACATCTTATAGTCAACTGCAAGTGATTAGCTAGTGTGGAGTAGTATTACAACAATAATGAACTTAGAGTTACAGAGTAACAAAAATGTAGGAAATCCCAGAATTACAGAAAAAATCTATCAATATATATTTAAAAAAAATATATTACAATATTGTCCCAGACATTTGCCCTTAAAGATAACAGAAATAATTTAGGTTAATTATCTTTATATTATATCACTAACAAATTTTACACAACATAAAAAGCTATATTACTGTTAAAACTGTTATTAGTCTCAGAAATAATAAACTTCAATATGGCAACCCTCCATATGAAGCACAGATCCAGTAGAAACAACATACTCTAAGGTATAGTTGTCTATAATTTTGTATAAATTTAAATTAATAAAAAATGTTAATGTTCCACAATCTTATTTAATTCATGTATATGTATATATGTGACAGGCATACTTGTGTTGTTGATCTTATTGTTGTTTCATTGATTAGCACACAATATGTAAGTATTAGCGATAGCTACCATTGAATTGTTTGAAGTAGCCCATTGTTTGCCAAGAGAGGATGCAGAGTTGATGTTTGTGAAGATATAGATGCAATGGAAAATAAAGCACTTGTTTCAGATTCTAAATTTTAATTGTTTTGTTGACCCATAATATTCACTTTTTCATTATTACATCATATTCCCATAGTAATATCTAAGAAACATATGTTTTATATTCAAACAAATACATTTTTGTAAATAATGATTATTATAGCAAATTATATTATATGTACTGAATATAGCACAGGTCATTGCTAAAAGTATTATTGAAATAGTTTAATGAATAACCAATTATTAAATTGACTTTAACATTAATATAAATAATAATATTAATGTTAACAATATTAATATCTGGATTCAGATTGATTTAAGCGATAAATTGAGATAAACTTATCTGAACTGGCTTAGGACTAGGTATTCCTTCCCACCCTTCAAACTAAAACACAGAATGAATAGATATTTGTGTACAGGAATGCTGCATTAGTTTGGTCATTTGGGGAGGATGGATGTAACAAAAATTCCAAAAGAGATTTACCGAGTATGATTGAATGGAGAGTTGGTATGGGCTACTTTAAAAGAATGTGTGTCAACCATATAGGTGATTTACCAAAAAAGGACCAAATTTAAAGTACCTGTAACCAACAAGAATGTAAGAGAGCAAGATTGATGAACATGAAGGAAGCGAAAGATGTCTGTTTGAATTGAAGCACTTGGCAGTTTAATGTTCCTGCCTAACCTAATGGGAGAGTGGCGGGGGGAAGGGATTGATAGTAATGGGGAGGTTAGTTCCAGGTAGGAGACAGGCATGACAAATATGTATATATTTTTTGTAATCATCAGATATAGTCATGAACAGTGCATCAATATGAACATTAAATTTCAAAAGGAGTTTCTACAGAGTTAAGTCTTATGATTTTTCTAGCTTTAAATATGCATTTATCTAGTTGTAAGCAATTATTGTACACAATTAAAGACAAATAAAATAATATTTATTCTATATACTTAAACTAAAGAATTTGATAATGATTCATTAGCCTATTAACTAACTACTTACATATTTTAATGATGAATATTATTAAATTGTATTTTAATAATAATGGAATTTGAATAATGACTCAGAGTTTTGTGTCAAATCATTAAAGAAGGTACTTACTTATACCTTATTAAATACTATTCACAAAAACCATTTTGCTTATACAAAGAAAAACACACAAAAAGGAAAGTCTCCTTTTTGTGTGTTTTTTCCAAAAACTAAATTCAAACTTTGAATGGATTTTAATAAAAAATATATATATCAACCTTATATAAACGCACAGGACTTTTCACCTATTTCTCATATTCAAAGATAGCATAAAATAAACAAAAAAATTGTTTTCCAAATGACAAATAAATTACTTGAAAATACCTACTGTTTAAGTAGATATTGGAATTAATGGACAACAGTAACAATACATTATATAAACAAAAACAACACCATGGGCACACAAAATACAGTGTAATAGTTACAGAACACCTGAGAACTAAAGTATTATACTATCACTGCCATATTCCAACTTCAACTGAAAAATAGCCATGCAATCACAGGTGCTTGAAAACAGAAACAAGAGTGGAAGAGAGGGTACCTTTGCACACATTTTTTTGTAGAGCATTTCTCAAACAAAAAATATTAAAATAAACATTAAACTGTTATTATTATTCTTTTGGAATATTAATTTATAATTATATAGCCATGTGCTCCCAACATAGAATGGACTAACCCTCCTTTTCCTGTGGGTGTCATAAAAGGCGACTAAGGGACCTGGATGGTTGAGGAATGAACAGCAGCATCCTTCTTAAAACATCACCTAAGCCTAACTGCGGATACAACCAGATTGCCAAGCGTGGCAACTACTGGCAAAAGCCCCTATGTTTAGCAAAGGACAGTTAACGGCTAGTATAAAAATATTTATTTATAAGGTAGGTAATTTAGTAACAAATTCTAAACAAATGGATTGTAAACCCTTACCCAAAGCTCTGTGCCCCAATTCATTTTCGCAACTGTTTCACTTCACTTACACGAATAACACATTTAAACTTCACTTACACCGTTTTAAACAAGAAAATTATGGAAATATCTACACAATTATAATTTTTTTATCACTACCACCATTTCCAAACACATTCCAAGGAAATAAACATGGCTGACTAACTAAACTGACGTGACATTCGATTCAAAAAATTGGCTCTCACTAGCTAGCCAACAGTCAAACTTCTTCGATGTCATGTCACTCACTGACAGTTAAGCTTTCTGTTGTACACAGAGTACACGCTACTGATTAATGATGAGCAAAACAAAATACTATATTTGTCTATGGAAAATGTTACCACTTTATTGTACTTAGTATTATGTTAGGTAATAATAAAAAAAATACACAATGCATAATTAATATGAATATTAATATTATTTGTATGCATTTTAAAGATTTATTTTCCTTTTTTCCGATATTATTGAATAATGAAGTAAAAATAAATAAATAATATAATTTAGATTTCACTATAAAAACATATTATTAATCTTATCCATTACTATTTTAAATAAATAAGTACTTCAATGTTATGACATAAACAGTTGAATAAAACCTGTGATTGTAAAAATAAAATCATGTAATTTTATTCCGGTTACAAGAAAAATACATTATGGCGTTTTTATTTTTCTTTGGTCGTTTCTAAGTTCTATCTTTCTCTCTTATTTTTTTCTCGTTTCTCTCTCTTTCCATTCCCATTCAATAAATGAATGAATAAATAAATAAATAGTTATGTTACTTTAGAACTCTTAAAAAGAATGAAGTAAGTAAACTTGTTTTCAGCAATATAGGTTCGTAGAGAAACGAACATATTATATCAGAACACAATTATTAATCATCTTCCAAGTCTTCATTTTCGGTAGAAACAAAGATTTTAATATGCCTTTCAAATGTTGCACGGCGAGATTTAAGCAAAGAGCCATCAGAACCTCGTCGGACCAGAGCTGTGCGACGTATTTCCTATAATAAAAAAAAAAGGATTATACCCAGTTACAGAAAAGTCTTGTAAAATGTTTATACCAAGAGATACGCATAGAGATCGAAGTAATAAAATTGTTAGTAAATAAGTATATTTACCAACAATTTTATTGCAATATCGATATTTTTAGTAGATGTCATTGATATATAGTAGTCCCTCACCCTATTGTATATGCAATACAGAGATAAGATAGTTTCTATATAGGTAATAGAACAACTATTCTAAGCAGTATAATTTTATGATATGTATACATATCTACGTACATCATCATCACTACCACTATCATCATCATTACATAGTATAAAACGAAGTCGCTTCCCGTCTGTCTGTCCCTATGTATGTTTAGATTTTTAAAATTACGTAACAGATTTTGATGTGTTTATTTTAATAGATAGAGTGATTCAAGAGAAAGGTTTATATGTATAATACATGCATAATATAATAGAGAAACACTGATAATTTTAGAGGTTTTTAAGGTGATATGATGTAACGTGTACCTATGCGAAGTCGAGGCAGCTCGCTAGTATATAAATAAATATTAACTGAAAACTAAAATATCAATTACGTGAAATAATGTTAATTATATTATTTCCCGCATTAAATTATGAAAAATTCTTACAAACGATAAACTAAAGCAACAATTTCCAGGTAGGATTTTAGTATTTTCAGTTTTTTTTTTGTAAAAAGGAATATCTGATAAGGTACTTCCTATTGTGAATAACTATTGAGTTATTCATAAGTGCTTTAACGTTATTATTCATCATTATCATCATCATATCAGCCTTTAATTGTCCACTGATGAACGTCATTATTAATAAGAATCAATTAAATAATTTGAGACCTAGTATTATTTTAGATATTAACGTCATAAATTATTGGTATTAACATAATTATTGTTAAATTACCTTCACAGGTTCTAAAATTATATGATGGCTAGATCTTCTTGATGTTGGTGGCCCAGTAATAGATGAAGCACGAGATGATTGCAAAGGACTCTGTAAAATCATAAATTTTAATATTACATAAAATGTTTATAAAAATACATTTTTAATGTTCGCGTTAGATGAATATATTTATATTAATTATTAATTAATTAAGACTAAGTAGCATCTAGTCCCTATCTAGCAGTAGTCTGACACAAGTTGATTTTGTTTTATTTAACAAAACTCTTATAGTTACTTACTTTTAGAGCGGGTACGAAGCCAAAATCTGAAGGTAAAGGTTGTGTTTGTATACTGTAAACACCTTCTTCTGATGCAACGGAAACTATGGAAGGTCGAGCTGATAATTGTTGAGCTAATAAAATTGGATCAGCATCTGTACCAACAAAATAAGTATATAAAATCCTATGTTATTCTATATAGTAAATACAATTATATAGAAATTATAATACAAATAATATATATATATATATATATATATATATATATATATATATATATATATATATATATATATATATATATATATATATATATAATTATGTACAAAATACTGACCAATGTTCATACATTTGGCAACTCTTCGAGCTTGCAGTACTCTACCAGCACTTCTACGAAATCTAATTCCCTTTTCCGCTTCTCGCCTAAGCCTTTGAGCTGCAGCGGCTGCTTCCGCAATTGCCATTGCGATGGGACTCATACCTGATCTTTTTAAGTTTATATCTACTATGTAACTTAAACAAATCGCATTCGATAGAGTACTATCACTAGGCTGCAAAATAATAAAAAATAATTGATATCTACTGAAAAAACTTAAAACCTTTAGTACCTGCAAATAGTAACGTTATGGTGTTACTCATTATAAAACAACGAACAAAGATAAAAAATCTTTCTGTAACAAAGTAAAAATACCGACTTAGTCAATATTTTTATTTTGCTCCAAAGTGTTAAAATTGTATTAACTATATCTGTACATAGAAGAAATTAAGTAAAATTAATACGGGTTTTCATAACAGTAATAAAAACTACAATATTCATTTTAAAAATTATTGACTCCCTGTTTATCCGATCATACACAAAAATTAATGTATAAAATTGAATATGGTTTTCACAGTAGTGTTCGTAAGTCGAATATAAAAACTGGTGTATATTTTATCTTGATACATTATCTAGAAATGTCCTATATCGCATATTTTTCTATTTCTAAAATCATAAGATACCTTCAAAAGTCGCAAGCAAAAACTAATATTTGCTTTAATTTAGCAAATATTAGTGAAATTAGTGATTCCAAATTAAGTATAAGTAAAACTTTTTGTTCTAAAAACTAGTTATTTCCTGCTACTTAAATCATATTAATAAGAAAATTATGTGTATATATCATCGCTATTGATTTAACAAGAATTTAAGTAAAGTATATGTTTAATAAAGTTATATGTTTATTATTAAAATGTAAAATTATAATTGCCTATAATACACACAGAACCAATGTCATTTACGCTGATATCCAATGACCTTAATGGTGTTTTCACTAATCCAATAGCTCTTGCCAATAAGTCTCCACAGCTTGGTGGATTTTCAGCACTTGTAGCCGACCAAACTCCTGCGGGTGCTTTTACTAGTGGACCTGGTTTTATACCACAACCAGAAATATTCAACCTGCAAATTTTTCAAGTGGTAAGTATGTCTCATGTGTAGATGGATTTATAAATTTATCATTAAGCAGTAAACGATATATTTAAATAACTGTATGAATCCCTAAAATAAATCCAAAGCGAGACTCGTACGGTTAGTAGATCTTTCATAATCTTATCAATACTACAATTAAGTAATAATGGAAAACATATGTCGAAATATCACTAAAGATGGATAGTATTCAGCAATTAGTATTTATTACTGTATATTATAGTAATTGAAAATTAGTATCCATTTTGTAGATTTTATATATAGTTGTTGAGTACTATATAAATACACCCACCCTAGAAATGAAGCGACATCTTCAAAAGGATAAATACGAGTAGACGGCTCATGGTTATTTTTTTAAACAGTATAAGGGAAGCCATATTTCTAATGTAGCATAATGAGTCATGCCAATTAATTAAAGTGTGGAGCACAAAATTTATTATATAAAACATCGTTTCTTTATTGCAAATTTAACTTTGTCCTTATAATAGGTATATTAATATCAAAGGTATATTAATAATAAATAAGGTTTAAAAACTACATACTATACTCCGCAGGATAATTAGGTACATAATAATTTATTATATCACTTCAAATATTCAGTCAAATTGATTGTTTATAATATTCGTCCAGCTTTGGGGCTAACTTCGTTGAACTACATAACACTAGTTAAATGTAAATACTGAAAGTCTACTCTGTACCATGAAAATATATTAAATAATATGTGTATAACTCGAAACATAATATATTTTAATAAACTAAAAAGTTAATTACGAGATTAAGTTACATCCTCTTGCTATTGATACTGCTATATGGGCAATTCCGTCAGAACCTAGTCTATTATTAAGTCTAAGATCAAGGTTGCGAATTCCACAGGCAGGATGATTAAGAGCGTGTGAAATATGTTCTGCACCCGCTGGTCCTATAATATGCAAAATAAAAAATATATCCTTTTATTATTTGGATGCAAACTCATTAGATTATGTGATCATTATATTATTATTATTACGTACCAAAACAGTTATCCACCAATACTAAATTTCTTAATTTGTTATGTCTAGCAATAAATTTTCCCAAAGAAGATGAACCATCGTCTCCAATTTTACAATGACTAAAGTCTATAGTTTCTATATTTTGGTTATCAGATAGACCGCGGAGAATATATTTTACTCTATGACAGTTCATGTCTGTTCTAGTGATTCTGTAGAAAAAACGAGTAATTATTTATTATACGGTTTTAAGTTTTAAGATTCTGTATTTGTAGGTAAATAGCTCAAAATTGAATAAACTATATAACTAGTTTTCTAATATACAACTTTAAACGTTAACATACTGCTTCATCCTACAATAATTCAATTACAATACGTACCATTTTACATTGTATAAATGTATTTGATTATGTCTATTAGTTGTACAAACTCTTAGCATGTGAGTAATAGTATCTACATATAGCAGGATTATTTTATTATATATTATAATTAGTCCGTTTAATAACTTTTACTTACCTTAAGATTTTTAATTGATTACATTTTTCTAATCCACGTGCTAGATTTTTAGCATCATTGTTAGTAAACTGAAATTGATCTCTACGGTAATTTGTTCCTGTATATTTTAATTGATAGGAGATATGTAATTCCACTAAATTTGTTAAACTTCCTATAGCCGCATGTAGGGATATATGATCTAAAACAATTTATTTAAAAAACCTATATAATTATAAGTAATTATTAATAACACATTACCTAAAATTGTTTTTTGTTTATTAATTACTTCTACCAAATAATTTATTTTATAATTTTTTTTTAATAATTATGAATTTATACGATATGTATATCACTTGAATGTAAAATAATAAATCAGCGACAAATCTTTTCGAAAGGCATTTGTATTTATAAAGTGTTTATGTTTAATAAATAATAACTGACTGATTTCGATACCATTGTGTATATGTGTGTTTATAAAATGTCAGTTAATCTGAAAAACGCATGAAATTTTTTTTATAAAACACGAAAAAATTATTTCCGATTATATCCCGTACTTCTACCAGAATAGAAATGTTTGAATGTTTGTTACCGAATCCCTCTTAAATTATTAGTATTTGTTAGATATATTTATTACGTATTTGGATTGAAATGAAAAGTGGTGCATTAATATATTTAATTATACCTATATTATCCATCTATCTAACTAGTAATTAAATATCAATGATGATAATACCTCTAGATAAAGTTTCACCCTTTTTCAGTAACGGCTTTTCACTTTTAATTCTTTGGCTTGTGATCAAATCTGCCATTTCCGGAGATGTGATCCTTTGGACTGGAATATCGGAAGGTACTAAGCTGCGAATTGCTAATGACTGTATATAAGGACCACATAATTTCACTAACGTAGTTACCTGGTGAGTAATTGTAAATAAAAATATCATTAACTAAAAATACTCAAGGTATAATTTATGTAAATATTACCTAGATATTAATAACGCTACCTTCTCAGGATCGTATAGACGAGGATTCATATTCTCTAATATATCTGCATAGTGCCGTTCCATGAATACGTTTATCCATTTCTTTTCTTCCGTTACTATAGGCGAATCAGACCATTTTGATTTATAGCATCTTTTCCAAAATATATCACTTTTTATATTATCAACTAAAATCTGCAGTGGCACGTTAGTATTCAAAATTTCCAAAAAAAATTCTCGATCTTTAGCCACTAATTGCTCCAATCGTGGTGTACCTAAAACCATATTGGTTTAAGCTTATTAAAAATGGTCTACACTTATCACTTCTTTCGCGTATCGAGGTAGATACCTACTTAATAATTTCATACGCCATCCTATTGTGTACTAGCTTTTGCTTGTGACTTCGTCCGCGTGACCGGGATATTTGTTTTATGCAACATAGAATAACAAACAAACTGACGGCCCACCTGATGGAAAGTGATAGCTATAGACATGAACAGTACCATGGATACAAAAGAGTATACTATTAAGCCTATGATACACTGCATGCGTTGACATTCCTGAGGACTAAGGTAGATAGATAAATAGATATTCTTTATTGTCTCCTCCATAAGATTACAATAGCAAACTTATTATAAATACTAACAAATACAAGAAAATATTACACTAAGAAAACAATGGGCAGCCTTATCGCTAAGAGCGATGTCTTCTAGGCAACCTTTGGATGGAGAAGAGTATTTATAAATAGTATGACTGGAGGCACGAAACTTTGTTCGTTATTTTATATATTATATATATAGAGATATACTACGTACGATAATGGGAATATATAAATGTACATTTAAAGTTACTGATACATACTTAAATAAATCCATATATACACATTATACATAGAAATACAGTAAGATAATAATTCATATATACATAATAATTCTTGATATTCTTAATCATATATTTTCATTATTTTATTCAAAAACTTACCCAGCCAATTTTCTTTCAACTTTTGTATACTTAAAGAAACTAGTGAAAGTGGATGATTGAAGTCCCATTCAAAATCTTCTGATTTAATTTTTCTATTAGGTTCCAAATTATCATTGTTTTTATAAGTTAAATACGTATTTACGGGAATGCTACTGTTGAATTTCATAGCACGATAATATTGTATAAATTGACGAAAGTTGATGTGATGATGATAGTGAAATGTCGTCTTTATACTTGTTGGGTTGCCTGGGATTATTGATTTAATACGTAATTTTGTATGTGCAATCTCCGTCTAAATTAATATTTTTACGTTGCCTGGGATGGTTGATTAAATATTTGGAACAAGTGTATAAACATATTGATTAAATCTTGTTTTAATATGTTTAATTATATCATACTTGTATGTTTAAATGTAACTTGGAACGTGTTCGTATTATGTAGAGTAAATATTTTATCTATCAGACTGACTACTGGATACATATGTCTGTAACTTCTTTCCTGTAACTAGAATAAAAAATAACCAAATTGTATAATTATTGCTTGAACCGTTAAAACGCGAAAACATAAGAAACAAAATCCTGCTAGGTGATATACTTGTAAATGAGAAAGTTTATAATGATGTTTAGATGTTTAGATATTTGTATGTTTCTTATTTAATTACGCCTTAATAGCTAAGTAGATTTGCATGAAATTTAGTACATGGGTAGGTGACATCTTAAATTAACATATAGGATATTTAATATATTGAGTCATGTGGGTAAAGCCACAGAAAACAGTTAGTAATAAATAAAAAAAAAAACTCACTTTGACACTCGTAATCGATATCGACTATCGACTACTGAACATAGGCCTCCTCTTATTGAGGAAGTTTTGCCAGTAATTGCCATACTTTGCAGGAAAGTTGTCTACTGCAGTTAGGTTCTGGTAATATTTTATTTGTAAGAGGAACGTTTCTGCCCATCCTTCGACCATTAAGGTTCCTTAATTGCTTTTTCCGATACGATGAAAGAAAGAGATGACCTATTCTTTACCGGAACCACACAGCAAGTTTCACAGTTATGACTACGGTAATTAAAGATTATAACGAATTTCAAAGTGCCTTATTATTAATTAACAACGGAATGAGGAAACTTTTAAGTTTTGTTTTATTTTGACTTCAGAATTTCATCATTATACATTCTTATTAAATAAATAGGTATATGTTCTCATTTGTGTTTCAACCGTAAAGCAGTTGTGTTTGCATTGCTGTGTTTCGGTTTGAAGGGTAGGATATAGCGTGAATTTACTGAGAGGTGAAAAGAGGTTTCTTTAGGGTCGGCAACACACGCGTAATACCTCTGGTATTGCAGGTGTTCATAGGCTACGGTAACCACTGTATGCTTGTTTGCCACATTAGTGGTATAAAAAAAAAAAAAAAACTATTTAGGATTATTCACTGTTAAAATGTTCTTACGTAGATTTAAAATAGTACTTGTGGCGCCAATCAAACTACGTAGAAATGCTCATTCCCCATCGTAATGATCATACCTCATTCATACAGACTCTTTTTATCAAAAGTTGGTTCTACTATATCCATTTTATGCCTTATATCGTTCTAATATGAGACCATAATTAATTATGTAATGTCATTAATATCAATTAACCCAGCAAAATCCTTTCCATTTCTTTTTAATATCCCGTCTTGTTTCCAGTTGTTGGTGGCATATTGATTAAAACTAGCTCCTTGCTGAAATTAAAAAAAAAGAAGTCTCCACTATTTGACTTCTCAACATTACCATTTAGGTCAATTTAGTCCCAAGTTCCAACTATTATAAGAACTCATGTACTGCTCATGTCTATAGGCGACGGTTACAACTTTTCATCAGGTGGGCTGTCAGCTTATTTGCCATTCTAAGTTGTATAAAAGAAAAAAGAAAAGAACTTTAAATTTGCGAATGAAGCATTTGTATCCAATGTTATGCAAAAAATAAATAAAAAACTAATATAAGCGATGATATTTTTCTAAATCTATGATTATGACACAAGTCAGAAGGGTAAATAAATATAATTAGTTAGCAACATTGGGTCCATAGATATTTATAGAAGGTTAGAGCTGTTGTGTCTAACGTAGATTCTGAGCTGTCAAATTAAATGTCGAAAAAAAAAAAAGCGCGGGAAACGTTTAAAAAAGCGGGAGTGTTTTTTGATCTTCTTTAAATTAATTTTATTTTTATTTATATAAGGATTAGTCTTTTTTATATATTGTGTATTAGATTGTATATTTAATTGTATATTTTGTAGTAATAGTGTTTGTTGCTGTAAATATTGGTAAGTAAATTACCTATATTAACATTATGGATCCACCTATAGACCCTGGGGGGACAACCCCCCAGGTGTCTGCAAATATAACTATTCCATTCAATAATAGTTTTGATATATTAGGTGAATCTAGTATGGACACAGATGGTTCTAGCGTTGCAAGTTCTAAACGTAAGCGAGTACGTGGTGAACGTCGCATTTGCAAACATTGCAATAAAAAACGAAGGAGGCACACCAAGGGTCTTGAATCTAAAATTAAAGATAGTGATTGTCAATGTATTGAAGATGAGAATCAAACTCAAGTATCAATACCAGTTGTAAACAATACCGAGTCTGTTAAACCTGCTTCTCCACCCAGTACTTTAAGCAGAACTTTGTACAATGCCGAGGATATAGCACCTTATGTCGTTCATGTACAAAAAAATGAAACACATCCTAATGATAACACTACATTACATCCTATTGCATTTGGTCGCTTTTTACACACTAATAAGATAAATAATATAGTGAATGGTAGCCTCAAAAGAATAGGAAGAAACCGTTTATCGCTTTCTTTCTCAAATTTTGAAAATGCAAATGCATTTTTAAATAATAGTAACTTAGTGACACATAATTTTAAGGCATTTATACCTTCTTTCCATGTAACCCGTATGGGAATTGTGAGGGGTATTCCTAAAGATTGGACAGAAGAGGAAGTAATCCAAAATATATCAGTACCGATAGGTTGTGGGAAAATTCTAAAAACCAGAAGAATAAAGAAAAAGACAATTAATGAAGGACAACCAAGTTTTATTAATACTGAAACCATTGTTATTACTTTTGATGGACAAATATTGCCAAAAAGAGTATTTATGTTTTACACATCATTAACTGTAGATTTGTACATTTACCCTACTATCCAATGCTATAACTGCTGTAGGTTCGGACATGTCAAGATGCAGTGTCGTTCAAATCCTCGGTGTTATAAATGCAGGCAAAATCATACAGGTGATAAATGTGAAGTAGATGAGGAAAATGTTTCTTGTATCTTGTGTAATGGTTCTCATTCAGCAATTAGTAAAAAATGTCCTGAATATGCACGTCAGAAAGCCATTAAAGAAACAATGGCCCATAGTTGTGTTTCTTATGCTGAAGCATCAAAATTTCATCCTCCAACTTCTAAACTATATTCAGATGTATTAACATCATCATCTCCTTCCAATAAATCTCATTTTCAATCTTCTTTCCTTAAAGAGAAATCATCATTACCACATATACAATCATCATATAAAAAAACAGTTACACTTAAACCACGCTCTCCTCAAAAAATACAACAAGGATATGATCGTTCTGCCCATGAAGCCATAGTTAAGGAATATAATATTCCTGCTCCCTCTAATGGTTGTGCATTATCATCAAATAATATTGACAATAATCAATCCATCATTGATATTATTCTCATGCTTATTAAAGTGTTATCGCAATCAAAAATGATACAAACAACTTTACCACCGTCCAACGATGCCATGTACAATGTATTTTCTCAATTATTAACTTCTCACAATGGATTACAAAGTCCAAATAATTCAGTGGAACTGTCGTAGCATAACAAATAAGAAATCAGACTTATTTTATTTGATTAATAAATATAATCCTTTTATAATAGCTCTACAAGAGACTTGGTTAAAGCCAGGATATCCTTTTAGGATTTCAGGCTTTACAAGTCTCCGTGATGATAGAGCTGACGGATATGGCGGTGTTGCCATATTGGTCAAAAACTCCCTTCTTTTTTCTTCTTTTTCGCTTCCTGTATATAGCGGCATTAATGCAGCTGCTATAATTATAAATGGTATCTGTTTTGTTACTTTATATATTCCTGATCCTACATGCCAAATATATTCACAACTAGAACAATTATTTTCAATTTTACCTAAACCTTTTCTCGTAATGGGCGATTTTAATGCTCAGCACCAATCGTGGGGCAGTTCTACTTCTAATTTTTATGGTGGAAAACTCCTGACGATAATTGACACTTACAAATTATGTATTATTAACTCAGATGTACCGACACGTAGAACTGCACCGAATGAAGGGTTTAGTGCTCCTGATATTTCAATATGTTCTTCTGATTTAGCTTCTTCACTGTCGTGGTATCCTCATTCCTCTACCTTCGGAAGCGATCACTTTCCCCTCATTCTTTCTTTTCCAATTTCCATTCCCTCAAGTCGAAAGAGTGGTCCTCGACTTAAATATAATTTATCAAATGTAGACTGGAATATTTACAAACAATATTTAGATAATAAAATATCGGAGTTACCTATTGTTTATCATGGAAATGAACATCAATGTTGTAATGACTTGATAATTAATATGAAGGAGGTTGCTGATTTATTATTTCCTGTTAAAAATAGTGCTTCAGGGAAAATTCCCTCCCCACCTTGGTGGGACAAAGATTGTACGGAAGCAATTAAAAATCGTAAAGAGGCTGAAAAAAATTATAATAATTACATGACATCAGAAAATTTTGAAATTTACACCGCAGTTTCACGTTCTACTCGAAAACTACTGAAAAAAAGAAATTGGAAGGTTGGAGAAGATTTTGTTCTTCTATCTGTCCAGAAGTTAATTCATCAGTCGTTTGGAATAATATTAAAAGATTCAGATCTGCCTTCAGTGATCATACATCACGTTCTGCACTCGATTTAACTTTAGCGAATAAATTTTTAGATCGCCTTGCTCCTAGTTATGTGCCGGAATGCCTTTACAATATTTCTCTATCCGTCTCTGACGAATTATCCGAACTTGAGTCTCCTTTTACTCTTGTAGAACTTAAAGGTGTTCTAGCTTGTATTAAAGACTCTGCACCGGGAGAAGACGGTATACCGTATTCCTTTTTTAAAAATGCTAGCGATGCGACATTAATTTACTTTTTAAATATAATTAATTCCATAATTATTTCGGGAAATATACCTACTTCATGGAAGTCTCAGATTATTATACCATTTCTAAAGCCTCATAAACCACCTTCTGAACCATCTTCATACCGTCCTGTTGCACTTTCCTCTGTCTTACTAAAGCTAGCTGAACATTTAGTGAAGAACCGTCTAGAATGGTTTTTAGAAAGTAATAACTTACTATCCCCGAACCAGTTTGGTTTTAGGAAAGGTAAGAGCACCTTAGATAATGTGAGCGTTCTTATTTCAGATATTCATATAGCTTTCTCACAAAATTTGTCAATCCTCTCAGCCTTTTTAGATATAAATTCTGCCTATGATAATGTAATAATTTCTATTTTAAAAACTAAATTACAAGCTTTAAATGTACCGGTAATGCTTTCTAATTTCATTATTAATATTTTATCAGAAAGAACAATACATATGGATCTAGATGAAGATACCAAATTATCTAGAACAGTATGGAAAGGCCTTCCACAAGGATCTGTTCTCAGTCCAATTTTATTCAACATATACACATACGATCTAGAATCATTCCTTGATAAATCCGTAAAAATTTTACAATATGCTGATGATCTCTTATTATATTTTATTGCGAAGTCCATAGAATCTGCTTCTGCCAAATTATCTGATTCATTAGATATGTTAAAAACGTGGTTAGATGCAAATGGTCTTAATCTTTCTGTAACCAAGAGTAGTATAGTTTTGTTTTCAAGAATGAGATCACCGCAACAAATTAAGGTGCTTTATGATAACTCATACATTCCTATAAAGACTGAAATTAAATTTTTAGGTATCGTGCTAGATAATAAATTAACAGGTCTGTCCCACTGTAATTATATTTCCACGAAATGTGAGCGTAACCTCAACATTCTTAGGTGCCTTGCTGGAGTTTGGTGGGGAGCACATCCCGTTTCACTAAAACTTGCTTATAATGGTCTTATAAGGAGTGTCATTGATTATGGAACTTTTTTGTTAGCTCCAGGAAGTTCATTTGCTTTTAAGAAATTGGATTTAATTCAATCAAAGGCCTTGAGGATTATCTCTGGAGCAATGAAATCAAGTCCAATCAATGCTTTACAGCTCGAAGTCGGTGATCCACCTTTGGTTTTAAGAAGGCAATATTTATCTGATCGCTTCTTTTTTCGTTGTTTACAATTATCTGATCATCCGCTTATTCAAAAGTTATCTCAACTATATATCTTTATTTCGTCTTCATCTTATTGGAAACATAAAAAACCTCCATGTTTAATACAAAGTTATGAAAAATATAAATCCATAGAATCTCCCACTTTTACATCGTCCTGTTTTCCCATTTATAAATGCTCATATCAATCTTTAGTTTTATCTCCTAATATTAAATATGATTTTGGGTTATCAAAAAATGATTCAGAATTGAATGCCAAATTTATGTTTATAACTGACATTGAATGGAATGAATGGCACTACATCTTTACTGATGCATCAAAACCAGACAATAGCGGTTGTGTAGGTGTGGGTGTGTTTCATTCACAATTTAATATCGTTCAAAAAATTAAACTTCCACCGGAATCTTCAGTTTTTACCGGGGAATGCTATGGTATTTTAAAAGCTGTAGAATATATACTTTTAATGAAATTACATAAGGCAATAGTTTTCACTGACTCTATGAGCTCTTTGCAAGCTCTAGCCAAATATCCGTTTAAATCAAAACCAGTTTATCCCATTATTTGTGACATAAGACAAAGTCTTTATCTTTGCATGTTGAGAAGGTATTCCGTTTCTTTTGCCTGGTTACCAGGACACAGTGGTATTAGCGGCAATGACAAAGCTGACCTTATTGCAAGAGAGGCTGTAACTTGTGGTGATATGTATCCGTATCATAATTACTGTAGTGACCTAGCTTGTCTCCCAAAAATATATTTAAGGTATGCCTGGAAGGAATATTGGGAAAAAACAAGTACAATAAAAGGAAGATTTTATCGCCTTATACAACCCGATATTCCTTTCAAACCATGGTTTTGTAAATTAAAGCTTGGAAAGACCGCAACAACTATTATAACTCGTATGCGTCTAGGTCACGTATGCACACCTTCTCATTTATACAAGCTTGGTATTGTACAAAGTTCGTCGTGTAATTGCGGTGCTGAAGTGGCGGACTTGAATCATATATTCTTCTCATGTTCTAAATTTGACCACACCTCCCTTTTTAATCATCTCCGATCCATCCGTGTTCCATTCCCAACTTCTATTCTTACTCTACTTTCTTCCAATGATCCTATTATCTATAAAATACTATCTTCATATATATATGATAACAATATTAAGATTTAGTTATATTACATGAATACATTTATAGTTGCATCAATTGCTTTTCCTATATATTTATAAGTATATTCTCATATGTACAAGTATATCCTTCATATCCTATAAATATCCTAGACCTAATCCTTATCCTTTCTAAATTCGTTTGTGTTAGGTATTTTTATTACTATTATCGTTTCCCCGTTTTGTTCTTGGCAAAATACCCTAATATCGGGGTGAACGCCACATAAGAAGAAAAAAAAAAAAAAAAAAATTAAATGTCAATGTCATCAATCTGTCATGTTCTCTATCATATTTTTATCACGATTGTATTCCATTCCAATACAAGATTATTGTATTAATAAATATTTTATTTTATTTTTAGCATTTTGCGCTATTTACTATGGATAAACATAACAGTTCTGAGATATTAAATTCGGACTACTCACTTTCCAAAAATGCCAGTTCCGACTCACTGGATTCAGACTCTAAATCGAGTTCATTGAATTCTAAACACGGACAAGACTCCGTAAGTTTCCTAAATGGATTAATTTATTCGTATCAAGTTTAATAACAGTTCCATTACTGCTTCCTGTAGGTTTAGTAAGTTTTAATCTTTTATTAGGTATACACTGTTCTGTGTGGTTCTAATCACGGTTCTGCCGTTGATTTTTTATATCAAAATGAGTGTTAAAACGATGCATGTTTGCTTGTTTGTGAATCGTATCCATAGTCATAGGCCGACAGAATTATCAAAGGCATGTATCTGTGTATTAAATATTTTAAATACGCTATTGGGACTTAACATGATGAAAACTTTATTGCAAGTAAATAGTACCTACAAACCTGCTTCCTTATTGCCGACGTTTCGACGTGGTACAATCCACATTTATTTACGACAGAAATGAAGTGAGCATCTTTGTCTTCCAGTGATTGGTACACTAAAAATATGATAATGTGTTTAAACGCAATGTGACTACTGTAAGTGTGGTGTGTAGGGTAGATCTAGATGTTAATATTGACAGTATGAGGGTACCCAAAGAGACTGCATGGCTTGCCAGACGATGACACAGCTCACTTCAGTCCTGACATTACAAGTAGATTGCACCATGTCGGAATTTGCGGCAATAAAGAAGCAGGTTTGTGGGTACTATTTAACTAAAAAAAAGTTTTCATCACATTAAGTCTCAATAGTGTATTTTCTCTCAAATGGTGCCCTGCCAACATATACCATTAACGCAGGTGGGGTTACTGTTTCATTATCATCCATTATAAAAAAACTCCTAATAGTATATTTAAAATATGTATAAATAATGCAATTATTTTAAATTAATTATTGTACCTGTATTGTTTTTATGATTAAAATTTTACAATGAGACCTTTTTTATATATAGGAAAGAAAAGCTTGCATTTACTATATTTAAAATTTTGTATATTTTTGCACTGTTGTAACTATTTATTCTTTCCTTAGACTTTTATATGGCATATTCATCATCATCATCATATATGGCATATTGTAATGCATATTTCTTTATGATGCATTAGTATACTATATTTGCACAACCAAACAATCAGTACACACTGACTGAATTTAAAGTTCATGGCAAATAAATTCAACAAATCCATTGGTATTTGAGTATTTTACTACTCATTAAATTGAGTCAAATCCTGACTGGAGTTTGAGGTTTTGAACAATTACTTAAGTATAAGTGTTCGAGTGCTACATAGATTTTAGTACTTTTTAATTGATTTCAGAAGCTTATTTTTAATGAAGATTCTTTATTATTATTATTTTCATAAAAAATTAGTTTCAGTAATTTAATAATTTTTCTGTTTGTAATCATGGAACAAAGTAATAGAATAATAAAATTAAGATACAAAAATTTACAATAAAAATGCAACTAGTATTCAAGTACTGCAAGTACTTAAAACCTGTATTTGAATATTGCATATTTATATTATGTACTTTGAATATTTGAGTACCTGATTATCTATTAGACATTTGAGCCAGTACTCAAACCAGTCTCACTCACCCCAAGGCATGTGACATTTTACACAATCAAGTTGCAGTTATATTTATGCATTCAGGCAATTCATATGCCAAATTGCATGATGATTGATTGAACAGTTTAGATGCCAAGATGTAACTGATATACAAACTCATATTCATACTGATTGTGTATATCAATAATTCACTGTGTTATTGTTTTTCTACAACCACCCTCACTTTTAAAACTTTATATGAAAAAAGTTACTATGTAGGGTATTAGATATAGTCTGTCATTATGTATAATACAATGTTTACAATAAAAAATCATGATTAATTTGTGCTATTCCTCATTTGATTTATAATAGATGTCTATGTATAAAAAATGAACATAAGTTTTAAAAATAATACCACTTTCATGACAATAATGAGTCCTGACTATTTTTAGCTATGGTGACTGCTTTGACTCTGTTATCATTAATTAATTGTCTGCTGTTGTTGGTGTTAGTGTGCTCGGATGTGGCTTACATAGCCAAACTTTTTAATAAAGATTCTTGCACAAAGCGACATGCAAGTACACCATCGCTGTTATAATGATAATACATCGCTGCTGGTGGTTGAGTTTATATTTCTTCTCTCTTTGCATCCAATCGAGAAAGACGTGATACAATCACTTTCGTATTTATAATATTATTAAGAATTTAAATTTATATATATTATTGTTTACAGCCTCATGTGTTGGGAGACATTCAATTTCTGGATAGCGAGAAATCAAAGAGATTGGCTCAGGATGTTACATATTTGTGTCCATTTAATGGACCAATAAGAGGTGTGCTACAAATCACCAATTATCAGTTGCATTTTAGACCAATTGAACCTTCTGCATTACACAGCACATTGAGTGTTCCGCTTGGTGTTGTAAGTATTTTGATTCTAAGTAATCTCTTTTTTTTATTATTTTCCTTATTTATTAATAATAATATCTATTATTATTATTATTAATAAAATAATAAGTGAACAAATTAGTTGCATAGATAGAATATTTATACAGAATGTGCAATAATTAAAGGCGGCTTTATCACTAAATACAATTTCTTACAGAGAACCTTACATAAAGTAGTAGGAAGTTTAAAGAGACAGTAGGTACCCCAAGTCAGATATAGTAAATACAGAGGAAAAAAAACCTATTACTAAATATAATTTTTATAACTATGTCCCTGCATTTTAAATCTGTAATATCTTCGGAAATATTCATTTAAATTACATGCCGTAAATGGGCCATATTTGTATTTGAGGTAAAAATTAATGCTGTATTGCTTAAAATCATTTCGTAAATAAGCAATTTGTTCCCGTAAAATGTAAAAGATAAAAAATGGTTATTGTGGGTTATCCTTAAGAGATAGACATATAACATCGCGAACTTTTAATTGACCTTTTTAAGGTGTACAATACTGTAGTACATTATTTTGATTTATCTCGTGGGGTTCAGCCAGCGTTTGCAATGTAAGCGCAAAAAATGTGTTTATTTACGGCATCACATTAGAAACCTCTAAATTTGTCAGTGTTTCTCTACAATATTATGCATGTATTATACATATAAACCTTCCTCTTGAATCACTCTATCTATTTAAAAAACCGCTTCATAATCCGTTGCGTAGTTTTAAAGATTTAAGCATACATAGGGACGGACAGACAGCGACAGTAACTTTGTTTTATAGTATGTAGTGATGTCTCTTTATATTTAACATACTTGTAAATTTATTGTGATTTTTTCTCAGAACACAACACAACATCCAAATCCAGTGATAGAGTCATAAAAATTGACACAAAATGTAGTAATCAAGTTTATTAAAAGATAATTAATATACTGTTTTCTAAATGTTTTAATATCTAATTAAACAAATTTATGTGTCACATATTATAATATTTTTTATATTTTAATTTTTACAGATATCTCGTATTGAAAAGGTTGGTGGTGCCACATCTAAAGGAGAAAACTCATACGGCATTGAAATATTTTGCAAGGTAATGAATCTAACAGTCTTGTGCAGTTTTATAGAACTTTTTAACTCATAAGACTAATATAGTCGTCGTTGTTGCCAGTTTGATTGTGGAAAATACAAAAACTTGTGCATGAAATGTTTAATATTAGTAAAATTTTTGAAGAAATTTATCTTGTTTTGCCCCAAATATGAAAATACGAACATATCATCAGTTTATTTATAAATGTTTCAATCTTTTTCCTTTGTTAGATAATTATCATGTTATCCTCATTAACAATGGCTTGAATTGGTCGCGCCATTAAGGAATTAGTAAAAAAATTTACACTATGAAATTTGGTATAAATATATAGTATGTGGTGTGATGGGATAGAGACTTAAATTAATTGCTATATTATTAACTGCTATTACTAGAGACTAAATTATTATTATTATAATGTAAGATTGTCTATATTTTATTTGTGAATCTATAAATATTGGAAATAAAATCTGACATAAGCTCTATTAGCCATTATATAAAGTTTTATTTACCTTAAAATTATTTAGCTCGAGCACATTTTACGTTTAGATTGTATTATAATTTTAACAATCCATGCTAAATGATGAGGAAAAGTAAGAGAATCCATTTTTCAGGATATGAGAAATTTGCGGTTCGCCCACAAGCAAGAAAACCACTCGAGGCGCGGCATATTCACCTATCTGCAGCAACTAGCATTCCCTCTGTCTCATGGTTTACCACTTTTTGCATTTAGTTATTCAGAGACGTTCCCAGAAGACGGTTGGCATGTTTATGACCCTATCGCTGAACTACGACGAATGGTGATAATTTTTTCTCTTTGGAATTTGTAATGGTTCCATTTATTCTATTGGTGACTAAAAAAGTATGGGATAACATACTTTTTTTTAAATGATTGATACAGAATGGATAATTAATTTTGATACTGATAAATGCAAATAATACTTGAATATACAAATATTATTTTTGCGGCCGCATATTAAACGAAGGGCTTACAAAATCTTAATAGCTACCTAGGCATAAGATTAGCTGAGTGACTAATCTTCTGACTAGGTAGCTATTAAGATACTTAAACAGAGTTCTTTGAATAAAAATGTTGTTCTGTTTTCGAATGTAAAATAACCTTATATAAACAAACTTAACCCTTTGACTGGTAAGGGAGAACTGATTGTTAGTAATGGGGATAGATATATAATAATTGCTAGCAATAGACTAATATACTCTGTTACGTTGTCTGCCACGCGGTGAACTTGTCACGATGTACATACTTACCTCCTTGAAAGGAGAAGGAAGAACGGAGAAGAATGATAGGTAAGGATGAATCCTTACCTATCATTCTTCTCCGACAACCGGCCATTATTTGTAATTCTAAATTGCATAAAAAATATTTATTTTTAAAACATGATCATTTTTAAGGATGTCTATATACTAATTAGAATTTTAATTATTATGTATAAATTATGTATTTATTGCAGGGTGTAAACAATGATATGTGGCGTATAACTCGTATAAACGATAAGTATGAGGTGTGCGACAGTTATCCAGCCGTGTGGGCGGTACCCACAGCGGCCACCGACGATTTGCTACGGTCCGTGGCTGCGTTTCGCTCCAGGGGACGGATCCCTGTGCTGTCCTGGATACATCCCAGTTCGCAGGCTACCATCACTCGGTGTAGCCAGCCTTTAGTTGGGGTACATTAATGCAATTTTTATCTAAAATTAATTATAATTTGCTTTCACTCCCAAGATTTTGTAAGAGATGACTAAAGATACAATACAAAAAAGAAGAGAAAATTCAAAATCATATTCTGTTTATTATATTATGTATATTTTATTATATTCTCATAATATAATGAATATGATTTATTTCTAGTTATTTAATTAGAATTATTTTGTTTAATAACGCTACCATTAGTATGTGTGTTACTACTAACACTCGGGAGATTGACCACAAATATTACTACGAGAAACTCCACAATTTTCCATATTAGCCATCGATCTTATTATAAGATCGCTGCTTAGTGCCTAATGTTAACCGTACCATTTGGTCCCGACATAGAATGGGTCACCCCTTTCTCTCCTGTGGGTGTCGTAAGAGACGATTAAGGGATATTTAATGGTCTAGAGATGGGCAGCAGCGCCCTTCTTAAAATGTCACCAAAGGCTAACTGCGGTTGTCAATCCGCTCTCCAAGCATGGTAATTACTGGCAAAATAACCCCAATTGTAAACTGCTTTAATAAATGGTCCGGTTCCTTATGTCAGTCTATGGACGAGATCTATTTTCTGTAGTGGACAGATAACGTCTAATATGGAAATTATTATTTGTATTTGTGCCACTTCGTTTATGGGATGGGAAGAGAGGACTAGGTGTTAATTCGTCTATCGAAATATTGTGTAATATGTATTCACTCGCGTTAAAAAAAGTTGGACTCTGTTTGTAGACAGATGTTGCATCTACATTTTATTTATCTATGCTAATAATAATAAAATATTATTAGGTGAGCGGCAAACGAAGTCGTGAAGATGAGCGCTATGTGCAACTTATTATGGATGCGAATGCACAAGGGAACAAATTGTACATAATGGACGCGAGACCAAGTGCTAACGCCATCGCGAACAAAGCCAAAGGTGGAGGGTATGTATCATACTTTTATAATGGATGCTTACTTAGAAAGTAAAGCAGTTTATTAATAAAAAAAGAAAAAAAAACTATTTAAATAGGGTTTAAAGCCCTTTAATTAGAATAACCTCATTAAGTGGTACACGATATTTTCGTATGGTGACTAACACTGTAAGTAATGCAATGTGTTACAACATCTTTTGATTCTCAGGATGTTATATGATATCATACGATTAAGTAAAAGGTCGCTAAGGAAATAAAATATTGTATTATATATCGTACAGGGAAGGAATCGTAAGGGCAGGAATATATAATATATTATTATCAACTCTTACCCCAATTTTTATTTGATCGTTATGTTTTCTCTTCCATTCTTCTCTATTAACAGCAATTTCCGCTTTCACTCCCATTCTGGTCATATCATCTTTCACACAGTCCTTTCCTGTCTTTTTAAGTCTTATTCTACCCTTATAGCTATCCAAATTCATATTTAATATTTTTTTTAAAACTTGCCGTCTACTCCTGCGTATCACGTGTTCATACCAGGACAGACGGTTGCCTGTATTTTTATATTTTATCCAATGTCTTAAAAACTTTTGGGTATATGTTGCTCAATTAACTTTTAAACTTGTTGTAAAATAATCCACCCTAATTGTGTTGTTTTTTAGTAATTATTTAATTAGTTTTGTTCTAATGTGTGCGCACACCTATATGTAGATTCATGATACAGAACGCTGTTAAATGTCATCCATACATGATTAGTAAATGTTGAATTATAGTTACGAGTCAGAAGACGCATATCAAACCGCTGAGCTGGTGTTCTTGGACATCCACAATATTCACGTTATGAGAGAGAGTTTACGGAAATTGAAAGAGTTGTGTTTCCCTCAGATCGATCAGACTAGGTGGGTAATTATTTACTTTATGTATTTTAAATATGACTACACGATAATGTAATAGTAATAATATAAAAGGCTTTGTTACTAAAAAGACGTTTGAGTCGATTTTGTAACATTCATAATTAGAGCTGCAAAATGTTTCATTATAACATCTTTTTGATTATCTTTTATATTCTATTACAATTTACTCATATGTAATTGATATAACAATATTTAAAGAAATCATAAAATAATATTGTTTTAGATGGTTCAGTGGAATTGAAGCAAGTTGTTGGCTAAAACACATCAAATGCATATTAGCGGGAGCTGTTCGCATAGTAGATAAGGTAAGGTATTGCCAATATAACAAATAAAACTATCAGTTGATCAGACTTTAGAACCGTATTATATTTTAAAAAATATGACAAAGTAATGACAAAATTTTTATAGTGTTAATGATATGTTAATAATACTTCAAGACAAGCAATATTTTTTATTTACATTTCATTTCTTTTGAGTCTTTGTAATCAGACCTTATTAACATGTGTTAACATACTCCAAATTTGTGCATATAGATGCTTTGTCTCTTTTAATTAAATTATCACAATAATACCCTGTTTGAATGTGTTTTTTATGGAAAATTTGAAAAAAATAAATTATAATTAATATATTCATAAAATTATAATTAGAATATTTTATTCACATATTTATATATTATTTGTAGTAAACAAAATAAAGAAATGAATAAAAAAAATATTTTGAGTAATAAATATTTGTTCAATATAAATATAAGTTTGTGATATATATTGTATATAATTTGTATAATACATGTGATATTTATTGTAGGTGGAAAATCACAAAACATCAGTATTGGTGCACTGTTCAGACGGTTGGGATCGCACTGCTCAGCTCACCGCCCTCGCTATGCTCATGCTGGACCCCTACTACCGCACGCTCAGAGGCTTCGAAGTACTTATCGAGAAAGAGTGGCTGTCGTTTGGACACAAATTCCAACTGGTAAGTAACATTCTATATTTATACGAGTATATATAGCATGGAAACGACATATTGGCGAATTTAGAATTATTTTCCAGAAGGGTCCTAAAAAAGGGGGCAGCGCATATGAGACTATAGGCTGGGGTTCTTCAGAGGGACGTATTAAGGTTTCTTAAGAGTCGGCATCGCGTGCATATCATCTCTGGTGTTACAGGTGTCCCTCGTTTAACATCAGACGGACTATATGCTTGTTTGCTTCCATAGTAGTATAAAAAAATGTACTCTTAGACATGTTTTTGCGAAGCTTCTCTGTCTTGCATCTTGGGGTGGATAGTGGACATTTCTAGGGTGGGTTTGGTCCACCCGCCCTTTAAATACGGCTATGAGACGACATCTCTTTCTTTGTTAAAATTCAATTACCATTTCCGTTTTTCGGTAACTGTTTATTTATTATTCGAATGTCTTTTATTTGGTCAAAAAATAAGTTAATTTTATTATTAATAATCATTATGAGAATATTAATAATGTATATTAATATCATAATTGTGTGTAGTAGTAAAGAATATGTTGAGTACATCAGTGTGTATTGGGTGGGTGTTTTTTATGTATAATATTTAAAAAAAAGTTTAAGTACTAGTGATCCGACCTGGCTTCGCACGGGTAGACAGAATTTTCGAAAATCAATACATATAATAAAAAAGTTTCAGCCAATTCAACTGATCAGTTATTTTATAGCATTTTGTATGTGATTATTTACAGTGATATACATATATTTTTTTATTTATGAACCAATTGAAACAAAACAGACACTAAATTTTCAGTGGAGCAAACCGCAATGCAACGTTTTTGAGATTAGCGCGCACAAATGTAGAGACAAACACACAAAAATTCTAAAAATTGTTTTTGGGTTCTATTGCGTTCATAAAGCCATCTATAATAGTTTTTCTTATATATTCTCCATGTACAGACAGCGACCAGTTACAATTTTATTATATGTATTGATTGATGTCTACCAGTTGTCATAGATTGGAAATATATGGTGCAGTATAATACGTTCAGTGATATTAATTTATTTTTGTAATTGTAACAGCGTATAGGTCACGGCGACGAGCGTCACTCCGACGCGGACCGCTCCCCCGTCTTCGTCCAGTGGGTGGACTGTGTGTGGCAACTGCAACAACAGTTCCCAACTGCTTTCGAGTTCACCGAGCGGCTGCTCATCACCATCGTCGACCATTTATATTCCTGTCGGTTCGGCACATTTCTCTTCAATACCGAACGGGAGAGGGTGAAGGAAGGTTGGTCGGAGGTTTTCATTTTTTACAATCAGCTTATATAAATCTTTGTGTGATTGCATGGGTACTTACACAACATTGTACATAATGTTATTTGAGTACATACTTGTAGGTTAGCTGTCATAGTATACTCACAAACGGTCTCGTGTTTCATATACATACAATTGTTATTTTTAGATATGTTCCACCCATCATACATTTATGCAATTGTTATATATTATAGTTAGATATGTGTTGAATATATGTATTTTTTTTTGGTCCATGTACCTCAAGAAATAGCTACTAAAAATCATCCCTATTATTTGCAAATTTTGCGATTTTATAATTTGCGATTATATATATATATATATATATATATATATATATATATATATATATATATATATATATATATATATATATATATATATATATATATATATATATATATATATATATATATTAGTGTAAGGCTAGTTAAAGAATTTTCATGTCGCTTTGGTTTTATTTAAATATCTATCATAGTTTAGTATAAAAATAATTTAAAAATTTTCTTAATACACATACTTAATATTGTTTCAGAGGTGAAAACAAAGACTGTATCACTATGGTCATACATAAACAGCAACCAGGATTTATATCTGAATCCGTTGTACTGGGGTCCTTCTACATTCGGTGCTGGTTCACCACCTTCACCTTATTCCCGGCCGCAGATTGTGCTAGTGCCTGTAGCTTCGCTGCGGGTCATCAAGTTGTGGAAAGCGCTTTATTGCAGATGGAATCCTACAATGAGGCAACAGGTTTCTATATTAAATATTTGTCTTTAGTTTAATATCGCCAGTTATTTGATTTGAATTATTTTGTTTAATTCTGCTACCATTAATATATGTGTGAATGGCAACACTGGAAGATTGACCACCGCTGCTACTACCAGAGTTTTCATAACCTTCCATGTTAGTCATCAACCTCCGACATTTCTCTATACGTCTTAACAATTTTCAAACAGATTTTTTTAGAATCATATAAATTATATTTATTGAATAAATAGGTGACGTAAATAATCTCGGTAGTAATTTCAATTCTCAACACAATACAAACATTTGTATTCACGAATTTGTATTGGTATGGGTGTTTTTTTATATATCTATATATTTATAATAAAAGAGCTATGTTTTACGTAATATAAAAATGAATATACTCAGTATTAGTACGTATAAGAATGTCATTATCTGGTATAGACTGAAGTTACTAAGTAAGTTGATGTAGTTTACTGGTTGATGTCTGTACTCGTAACACGAAATATATAATAATCATTTTTATATAATCGAAAATTGTTCGATTTTTAGATTCCCAGACCAAAGTTAAGCGTTGTCCAGGGTATTTACGTATTTATTTATTGAAATCTGGATTGTAACGTAGGATCCAATATACCAACGCACTCGCGAGCTGGTGGCGCTACGAGCGCAGCTAGAAGCAGCTGCAGCGGCTGCTGCTGGTGACCATGCGGCGCGTCAACAGCGACTGGGGCTCACTCCGCCGCGAGTCGCCAGTCCACACCACGTCTGAACTGTATAAGTATGTATTATATTCTATTATTTATATGAAGTAACTACTATATATATATATATATATATATATATATATTAATTTATTATATGAAATATTTTAATTATTTACATAAATTTATTTCTATTTACAGGTAACGGGTATAGTCAGAGTAATTGTTTAGCTCGGGCCATAACTGCAAATGTCTTTGTGACTAGAACTACGTTTATATGTTGTCAGTGCTAGTGCGGTAAAGTCCTCTTCCAATATATTTTATATTGTAAATTTAAATGAAGATAAACATTGGAATTAGGGTATCTAATTAATTTTTCCAAGGAATTTTAAATATTATGACTAGCATATGAAATGAATGTGATCACGAGAAACGATTATAAAATAAATCTTATTAATTTGTATGTAGAAGCGATACCAAAAAAGTATTTGAGTGCGATTTTAATATTATATGACTTGTACAGTAAAAATTTTACCTACAAAAACATTTACTGCGCATATTTCATTATATGTTCTTGAAAAAGTGGCGGCAATGGGAGTTATTAGGCAGTTCATACTTCCGAATATTACTGTATCAAAATGATAGCACAACGTAGCAGTATTGTTTCTTTAAACACATTAGCTGACCCGGAAAATGTTGTTTTGCCCACTACCGCCACCTACTGGTAATTTTTTCTTATTTTGATAAAAGCAATCCAATCTCTCAAGTTGAAGCAAACTATACAAAATTTACAAAACTCAATTAAAATCGGTTGAACAATAATAACATTCGAAAATTAGCGTGAACGAACGTCGTGACACGGGATTTTAACATATTAAGATATTTTAAACCTACTTGAAAAAGGTCTATATAAGATTAGGTTCTTAATTCAATTGTTATTATTAAACTAAAGTTTCATCCCAATCATTTGGACGAGTGGCGGTCTTCCACCGTGCGTTTTTCAAGACACTTTCTTCTCCGCACAACCACTGTTTGGAATCGACTTCCAGCTGCAGTATTTCCGAACCGACACGACAACATAACCTTCCAGAAAAGAGTATATTCCTTTTTAAAAGGCCGGCAGCACACTTGCAATGCCGTTGGTATTGCAAGTGTGACCATGGGCGGCGGTAGTCACTTACCATCAGGTGAGCTGCATGCTCGTTTGTCCCCTGTGTTGTAAAAAAAAATTTTTTTTTGTGTAAGCCCGTGTTCCGTACTTACTATTTTGATAAAATATAAAGTCCATATCTCTTCAAACGTAATTGTTATTATAGTTTTCAAATGCCCTATTATAACCTCATGTATACCTGTAGTGTGGAAAAATCGTTCACAAATTTATAGGCATGTAGATTATCTAATATCTTATGAATGATAATCCTTTGGATGATTAAATTAATTAATAGTTAGTGAAAATGGCATTATATTTATAAGTGAATTGTGTAACTGAGAAACATAAATTCAACTTGGTAATTATTTGTAGTGTTAATTGAAATCATTGTTTTGTATAATAAATTGAATAATAGGAGTACCTAATGTGTCCTGGTAAATTCTGTACTGTAAAATGCAATTTCCACCTGTTTGTATTAATATTTGGATATGCTATTACTTGCCAAATTAGAAACAAATCATTTGAAATAGGTATACTTTTAATTTTAATTTTTTTTCGCACTTAAAAATAGATGCTACTGAGTATACAACAACTTATTTAATATATCGTATCAAACCTACTCAAAAATATTTTGCAAATAATTTAGCGACCAAAAATATTGCATTTGTAAAGAAGAGATAATATATTTTGCAAAACCTTATTAAAAGCCTATTACATAGATTGATACATTTAATTCATTTAGGAAGTAGTCAATCAATTTTTTTTTTATTTTTATATTTCTTAGATATAGAAACACATTTTACTTTTTTTTTTAATTAATAGTTATTAAGCGCCTTGCCTCTCTTAAAAAAAATATTAAAAATATGTTGCAATATATTGAACGTATACAGCGTTAGATAATTTTATTATTATACCATTAGTACGATATAAATGTATGTTATTATTCATCTTATGTTTCCAAATATATAAGGGTTTTTTAACGTTAATTTATACTATTATATATTATAATATATTTGCTGTGTATTGCAATTGGTTCAAGAGTTCGATGGACGAAGATAATTAAATTTATCAGTTAATATAATATAAATTATTTTATCAAAACTAGTGTTTGCATTCCCTTTGCTTGCATGCTATCCTTTCCTTTCCTGTGGTGTCATAAGTGGCGACTAAGGGAACTTAAAGATCGAGGGATGGATAGTAGCAGTAGTAGCAGTCAAACATGGCAATTACTGGCAATACCTCGCTTATGGGGGAGGCCCACTTGAGCAATGGATAGTTGACGGCTAATATGAATGAATTGCCAGAGTATATATATAACGAGTAATCAAAATTGGCGAACGTATATTGAATTTTCCATTTCGTATTGTCGAGCATAGAATATGCCAGCCCCTTTCCAGTAGGTGTCACCAGGGCGAGAAATGGGTAGCAGCGTCCCTCTTAAAATATCTCCAAAGCCTAACTGCGGTTGCCAATCCGTCTGCCAAGCGTGGCAACTATTGGCAAAACTCCCCGAAGTAAAAGGCTTATGTTCAGCAGTGGACAGTTAAAGGCTGTTATTATGATGGTTATTATAAAGGCTGTTATTATAATTGTAAATAGATGAAGGGTCTTAATACTGCCATGCCAAAACAATAATTTATTGAAATTTTGTTTTCCTGTCTGTATGCTTGTTTCGGAATAAGCAAAATCTACTGCATTAAATTGGATGTGGTTTCGAGTATATGTATTAGAGTATAGTTTTATGTATTAGAGTACAGTTTTAAAAATGGTATATGTTTTATCTTGATACGCCATTTAAAAGTGGTCCATTTAATTGATTTTGCTACTTGTGAAATCTACGCATATAAAGTAGCGGACAAAGAACTAGTTAGTAGTATAAAATAAAAAAAAATCCATAGCTATAATTCCTAACAAGGTAGTTAAAGATTTTGGTCTACTGTTGTAGTTATGGTGAATCTAATGCTCGACATACCTATATTTCGCCGAGCATATTACAATATATGTTTTGCAGAACTTATAATTTGTTGAGTGTTTAAAAGGCTAATGAATATGTTGTGGTAAGGTTAGGTACTCGTAGTTACGTTTATATTTACAGGAATGAATACTTAGTAAAATTAAAAAATGCGATGAATGTTTCATTTGTCTTTTGTTATCTGCTAGCGAATATAAATTTCATAATCGGGAAATATTCTTCATTATTTAAAATATATTACCTTACTCCGTCATATTAAATGATATGCATTTAATGAGATAATTATTCTTGATTTTTGGTATTTAACCAAATAAATGCAATTGTTTCAATTCAATCAGTAAGTACGAGTAGGTTTTCCATAAAATATTTTTATTTTGTGATCTCAATATTTCATTGCCCTTGGATTTTATAATAAAATTCTGAGATAAAAGTATATTTAAATCGATGTACTAAAATAACGCAAACTGTATACCTATCCATTATTAAGATACACAATTACTGTGACGTTACTTTTGTGTCAAGATAAATCATTATACCTACCTATAATTTTTATAAATAAGAAACATTTTGTTTTTGCAATATTTATAAATTTTATAATAAATTGTAAAATAATTAAATACTTCATTGTCCAATATGACTTAGTTTAATTATTATCACAGTATATAAAGACAAGAAAAAGGAATTTATTTTTAAAATGCACTACTAGTCACATATATACATTCAATGACAATAACAAATCAGAAAGTATGTAAACACTTAATTTGATAAGCCACTTATAATTGAACTTTGACTGATAAAGGATTGTAATGATAAAGTGAGACAGGGCAGTATTCAAAAGTTTCATAACACTGCTTTTATTTTATCGGAATTAAAAAAAAATCAGAACACCGCCGCAAAATTGTGCGACTCGATGTTTTCTACAGGATATATTTTGAAGTGTGCTTTAAAAACTGCATGACCTATTTTCTCCTTTACCCTTTTGACATCGGAAGAC